TGCATAATTAGGATCTAGTTGGATTGCTTTATCATAACTATCAATTGCATCGTTATATTTTAGTAGATTGTTTAATGAAATGCCTATTTAAATCAAATAAATTGATTAACCTTTATTTATATAGGCTTTTGCATAATTAGGATCTAGTTGGATTGCTTTATCATAACAATCGATTGCATCTTTTTATTTACCAAGACTTTCTAATGAATACCCTAAATATATAAAACAAGTAAATTACCCTTCATCATATAACCAATAGAATATTTTAAATCGAAATTTAATGCTTTTTCAATGCACTAAATTGCTTATTAATTTTAATTCAAATATTTTAAAGAAAAGCCTGTTGTACATAATATATGATTACTTTTTCTATATAATGCATGTAGATGTTAAGGTTCTTCTATCAAAACTTTATCACATTATTAGATTGCTTCTTGATATTTCTTCTCTTCATTTAATGCATAACCTATTAAAATTATTGATTTCATTTACTTTTTGCAATTAAAACAAACTTATTTTATGGATTTTATGTTAGTTCTTTATTTGAATAATCCAAAAGATCTGTATATAGGTTACTATTAATCTATTTAGCTTATTCTCTCATTTTTATACCTATTCCAGGTTGATTCATTTCAATTAAAGTCATACCTTAATTATATAAATATTTTAGAAGTACTTTAAAAGATAGTGGCAAATGATTTTTATCTTTCTAATAATTTTAAGTATTAATTTATTTTTTCATTAGCCTCATACCATTTCTTTTGATTTAATAATTATATTCCTAATATATAATTTTATAGAAATCTAATACCTTACTCAAGTGTAATTTCATAAAGATATATAGTATGATTAGAAATAAAGAATATTGCCAAAAAAAAAAAAAAATTTTTTCATTAAAAAATGGAAAGCATAGTAATTTGGTTAAGAATTATAACAAAAGTACTATTTTATGAAATATTATAGGATAATTATGATAAATATTTTATTTATGATGCCTAAACATATTCATTTCATATTATTTAATTCCTTAATTAATTGTCTAAACTCATTTTATTCTAATTTGCAATATAAAACTGCTTGCTCATAATTATTTTTGGCTTATTAATATTTCTTCAATTACGTTAATAAATAGCCTATTAAAATTAAATAAATTGATTAACCTTTATTGAAATAGGCTATTGCATCATTAGGATCTAGTTGGATTGCTTTATCATAACAATCAATTGCATCGTTATATTTTTGTAGATTGCTTAATGAATTGCCTATTAAAATCAAATAAATTGATTAACCTTTATTGAAATAGGCTATTGCATAATTAGGATCTAGTTGGATTGCTTTATCATAACAATCAATTGCATCCTTATATTTTTGTAGATTGTTTAGTAAATAACCTATTAAAATTAAATAAATTAATTAACCTTTATTATTATAGGCTATTGCATAATTAGGATCTAGTTGGATTGCTTTATCATAACAATCAATTGCATCCTTATATTTTTGTAGATTGCTTAATGAATTGCCTATTAAAATCAAATAAATTGATTAACCTTTATTGAAATAGGCTATTGCATAATTAGGATCTAGTTGGATTGCTTTATCATAACAATCAATTGCATCGTTATATTTTTGTAGATTGCTTAATGAATTGCCTATTAAAATCAAATAAATTGATTAACCTTTATTGAAATAGGCT